TGAGGCCGAGAGCAAACCCAGCTCCGTCAGATCGCGCCCTTCTCTTAAGCACACGGCGCAGCGTGAGTGGGCCCGCAGCGCGGCTTGGCCAGGACCCTGGGCTGAGCAGCGCACACGCCATGCTCCTTTTCAGCACATTCTAAGAACAGCAGTTCCCCCTTGATGCCGCTCCACATGGAAACTAATGACAAAACCAGTTCTGACATTTAAACTGGCTTCTGAGAAACTGTTGGACCTTCAGTTCCGTACTCTGGGAATTGGGCAAAATGACAGACAGATTTATTTGGTAGAGAATGCTGGTGGGAACAAAATGCCACCGTGAAAATGTACCTTCTCGCAAGGCGGCTGCCACCCAGACCCCTTGGAAAGCCGTCCTTTACCATAAGCCCTCGCCCTGGCCCTCGCTCGCCAGGAACCCGCCCGGCCCCTGCAACCCAATCCACCACCGCGGTGCTGGGGTTCCAGGCCGCAGCTATAAGTTAAACACAGCTGTGAGCTATTACACTGCAAGTTGTATCTGTGCTAGCATGCCAATCTTTGATAAAATGTTCACTTGTTAGAGTCACCAGGGAACAGGGCAGTTGCGGCTCCACATTTGCTAACTTCCATTTTCCCTGCTCCCTGCCAATCCTGAACTCACCGTCTGCCTGGCTTCCTCTAAGCCTGGGATGATGCTCTGCGGTCCCCCCTGCAGAAAGGAGCAGAAGCCACAGTTCTACTCAGTTCTCAACAGCACTTGGAAATTTGAATCTTCAAAGGCTGAGCTCACCAGGCGAAACCCTGGCTTTGGGGAAAGTGGTGACACCACAAAACAGGCACCCTGGTAAGAATGCTCCCTTAATTGGGACTCACCCCCTGGCAATGGGCCTCAGAGAGTGTTCTGCTGCAGCACTTCTCTCATCCAGTCCTCCAGCCACTCTCCACTCATTCAACAAGTATTTACTATCAGCCTGTTCCAGGCACCGGGATTACAACAGGGTCTCAGGCAGCAGATCTCCAGGGGGCAGAGCCCTCCTGGTCTGCCCTGCTGCTTCCAAAGGCCTCTGGGGAAGTGAAGAGGGAGGCCCGCCTGGATGTGTCAGTTGTAGGCTTGGAGGGGAGAAGATCAGAAGAGAAACTAAAGAATGGAATTGCAAAGAAGTGTTAAGCTTTAACAGTAGTCTGCTGGTTAATAGTAACATTGATAGTTATTTTTAAACTATTTTTATATATGATACAAAAATGTAATTATTTAATGTTGTTAGGAACCAAAACTGTCAGTGTAAAAAACACCATATAAAAATCAAGGGAAGTGCCCGGCAGGCATAGCTCAGTGGTTGAGCACTGACCTCTGAACCAGGTCACATTTCAATTCCCAGTCAGGGACAGGCCTGGGTTGTGGGCTCAATCCCGGGTGTGGGGCGTGCAAGAGGTAACCAATCAATGATTCCCTCTCAAGACTAATGTATCAATTTCTCTCTCCCTCTCCTTACCTCTCTCTGAAGTCGATAAAAATATATTTTAAATATCAAGGGAAGGAAGTTTACAACTCTGTAAGGTTAGGTTGGAAGTGGAAAGATCAACACTGTACTGGTCATGTTTCTACAAGATAATGTGGTATAAACACAGAGCCCTCCAATCTCAGATGCTTACAGCATCACTATTTCATGTTCAACCGTCTGTAGGATGACTGCAACTCAACTGGTTTCTGCTGGTTCCCCTGGGCTGTGCCAGCTGGGCTGGAATGCAGGCTTTGGATTTGGGATTCCGGCTAAACGAGCAATAGCTAACAGTACACCACGGAGAGTAGGAATTCCAAGAGGACTGGTGGAAGCATGCCATGCCTCTGACCACTTTAGCTCACCCTTTGCATTACTTGTGCCTAAGTCACAGGGCCAAGCCCCAAATCTACACAATAGGGACATATACTGTACACACCCACAGAGAAGTTATGACAAGGATGAGGAGGGAAGGAAGAATTGTGGAAAAATTACACCCCCTGCCCTAATTACAATCTCATGATCTTTCCTTTCAAGAAATAAGTATTTCCTAGCGCTTGTCCACCAAAAAGACCTAAAAGCAACAGCAACCTAATAGCAATGAATATCCTCTCACCCAGATTGAGGTTTCTAATATTGCTCCCCACTAAAGAAACCAGCACCCTGAGGAATGCCTGAATCTAGGTCTTCCGTGGGAAGTGTATAATATCACGTTGGAACACCTCATGGAGCAAGGAAGTTAACAAAAATGGAGGGATCATGTAGACATAGGAGGTGATGTGAAAGGGCTCCCATTGGTTAAAGACGGGACAACTCATGCATCAAAAAGCATAGTGACTGTCACTGATTGAAATGCAGATTCCCCACCCACTCCAACCCTATGGAATCAAGATCTCCAAGGGTGGGGTCTGCCATCTGTATTTTCACAGAGCTCCCCCACGGATTCTCGGGCGTGGCCAGGGTGGAGGCACCAGTCCAAGGTTCCTGATACTCTGGGAGTCCAGTCACTCACAGTGCCCATCTTGTCCTCAGATGCTGGCCTCTGCTTCCTAGAAAGTCTTGCCTACAACTTAACATTGCCTCCTATTCATGTTCTTCCAACTCTAAGGTGGTCCAGCCTCAAGGGGGGAAAAATCCCAGCTTTCAGTCTGTTAACAAAAATTAAAACAGTAAAAAAGCTGGACAGCTCCCAGGGCCTTGCTTTTAATCGTTGACAATGACAATGAGAAGCAAACCCTTCCATTTTTAGCTAACATCTCATAGATCCAAAACATTCAAGTTTGGGGTTTCTCCAGATACCTCAAAGCAATTCGTTCTTAATTCCCACTCTACACCAGAAACTTATGCAAAACAGGGCCGACTGGGTTCTGGAGCCTGACCCAGCGATTCAGATTCAGCGAGTCTGGGCACCATGTTTCAGAGGCTGCCCAGGTGACTGATGTGCAGCCACAATTAAGAACCACAATTGAGAACCAAATGTTTTGCTTTCAAGATTTAGCTTCAAGCTAAATCTTGAAAGCAAAACATCTCCACCTTAATGTCTTGTCACAACTTGAAATCAGATATGCCCTGGATAAGGTACTTTCCAAACTGCAGCCCTAGCCAGTTTGGCTTAGTGGGTAGAACGTCAGCTTGTGGATTGAAGGGTCCTGGGTTCAATTCCAGTCACGGGCACATGCCTGGGTTGTAGGCTCAATCCCCAGGGGAGAACGTGCAGAAGGCAGCCAATCAATGATTCTCTTTCATCAATGATATTTCTCTCTCTCTCTCTTCTCCCTTCCCCTCTGAAATCAATAAAAACATATTTACAAGCAAAACAACAAACTGCAGTGCCCTGGGGAAAAGTCTCCCCCTGGTTGTGCCTCTGAAGAGCTCCCGGCCCTTCCCTCCTGCAACCAGCCAGAACAGCGACCCCAGCCTCCCGCACACGCAGTCTCAGAGTTCAGGGCTCACAGCAGCCCTGTTAGCTAAAAATGCTCAGTGCTCAAGACAGAAAACAAAGATCCAAATGTCTAAGACACTCCAGACCAAAGCAAGCAGAAACAGCTCCAGCTGAGAACTAAGGTGACCATTAAACAACTATTCCCCCAAAGGCTCCAAGAAGTAGCGAGTTATCTCAATTATATATATATATTAATTAGAAAGAATAGATAACTCCATATTAGAAAGAAAAAAAAGAAAACAGAAGAAGACTGGAAGTCAGCCAATTCAAAAAAAACAAACATAGCTCAGCTCCCCAAACCTAATGAACACAATGCGTGCGCACACGCACACACATAATTAATAAAGATCATTGCCAGGTCTTCACATAAATGCTGATCGTAGATAACATGCAAGTTTCCTCCTAATCTATAATACGTTAGATACCAGTTCCCAGGAGGCCTGGGTCTGTGGTCTGACTTTGGATTAAAATGCTGTTTTTCTCTGTCTTTACAGCTACCAGACTGTAAGAAGGGCACGTTAAGAGTGTTCTGGGATTCACAGGAAGATACCTTTTGGTTGCAACAGACAACTTTTGACATATCTCTCCACCAATACTCCTCCTCTCTGAAATCTGCACCTCACTCACCAGGCTAGGTCCCCTCAGCTCAGCTGTGCTTCCAGGACTTGGCCCTGTACTCCTGACTTTGGTCATAGCACCCACACTAGACATGTGACTCAGCTGGGCTGGGCTGAGAGCTGCTGGTCTCAGTGTAGAAGATGCTTCAGGGGGGATCATGTAAACATGGGCCCTGTGGGGAGGCTGTGTTGGACCACATCAGCAGACAGGCGTAAAGGCAGAAGAGAGAAGCAGAGGGAAAAGCTGAGGCAAGAAGCAGAGTGGTCTGTGTCCTGGCTGGCTCTCCAGGCTGCCTAAACTCCATGCCCATTCTGTAAAATGCCCCTCCTATCCTTGTAGTAAAGTCCTCTTCTGCCTATCACAGCCACTTTGGCATGCATTTCTATTAGTTGTTAACAAAAAAAAGAACTTTCCTAAAATATCTATAAAGCCTCATTGTCAACTACTAAACATTTCCGGTAGTTTTTAAATAAACATTTTAAAGTCAACTTTTTTCTCTTTATTGACTATGCTGTTGCTACAAATGTACATTACAATTTAATGTAAACCGTGTTTTGCTGTAGCCACTGGTTTCAAAATCAGAAACAAAGCAACCACCAGAATTTGGGATCAACAAAACGGAAGCTCTCTGGAAAAACATTGCCCCACACCCTATCCTGATGGTGCCCCTTTCCCACAGAAGGAGCCTGGGAAAAGCCATTAGTGGGCCAAGACCTGACTCAGGCATGGAGGCTGTGGGCACCAATGCTGCAGCCTGGCCAGAGGGAGCCAGACATGATAGCATTCTCTGGAGAACCCAAACACCTGTCTCAAAGAATGAGCACCATCGAGAATGCAGTTTCTGGATGCTCTTCAATGGGGCTTAGACCATTCACATGCATTTGGATACTTCAAGAGAGAAAGGGAGAAACTGGGTCGCTCTAGCATGGCTGTTGGGATGGTAGGAAGGACAAGGTACAGACCTCCGGCTGGATGGCTTTAAACACAGGGATGTCCATTAGTGTGATCTGGCTCTGCAACAGAAGAGAATGGGCGTTAGGAAACATAAAGTAACTGTCGTGTTCCTTTGAATCTATACAGAGTAATAGCACTCTTAAAGGTTATAATTTCCCCCTTGAATAAAAATCAAGACAGAGTAGAAAACAGACAAATTTTTAAAATGCCTTTCCCATCCCTTCCCTCGTCATAAATCTTGATCCACACCCTTCTTTCCTGAATGTGAGACAAACGTCCAACTTCAGCATTGGTAAGAGTAGTTTGGAGGTTGGGACTGAGAGGAAAGGGAACATTTTTTGGTTTAGGTATTTTTGTATAATTTCAGTTTATTTTTTTCAAGCATGAATTACTTTTGTAATTGTAAAAAGTTGACAGTATTAAAAGTTAGAATGCTCAACAGAGACACTATTACTCTAAATTTAAATTTAAAAAACAACAACTATGGCTTGTAGAAATTTCTTCTGAAGTCTAAGCCTTCTCAAAATCATATGGTAGAGTGATATTTGAGATGCCTCCACAGGCCAGTGTGGACCACAAGCTGTTTATTCCACGGCCCACAGTATATGAGATAACTACAGAATTTAAGGGCAAGCATTGGGAAACTTTTATAGTAATTTGCCTCGATGCTCTTATTATATTTTTAAGTATTAGTCTTCTGGAGCTTGGGAATGAAAAAAATTGGTCCTTCACCACAATTAGCTTGAGAAGCACTAATGCTGTCAGCAAAGAAAACAGTCTGGTTAAAAGACTGTTCTCACTGAGCAACAGGAAGGGAGGCATCGCTGCTGACCATGCTGCAGGCCAAGGCACGGCTGAGCTGGCTGCACTGACCTACCCATCTCCCTGAGTCACATGGGCTGCCAGGTGTCAGCCAACAGATGCCTCTATGACAGCCCAGGGAGAGGAGAGCTGGCGGCCTTTGGATGCCTCCTAATGCAAGAGGACACCTGTCCACCAAACACAGGTCATCTGGGAGGACGTGATGCTGAGGAATAAACATGGGCTCAGGGCTCAGCGGGGCTTGGGAATGTGTCTGGATGCCACTGCTTAACAGCAATGTTCTATTTGACACCTGACAATTCTCCCAGTCTCAGATGCTACATCTAGAAAACAGGAACAATAATCCCTATCTACATATCTTTGTGAAATTTTAAGACAAAAGATGCAGAATGCCTGGCACTTGACAGGTACTCTATATATATATGAGGGGTGGGTAGAGAGAGGATATGGATATGGATGTGGGTGTGGGTGTGGGTGTGGGTATATATATAGAGTGTGTGTGTGTGTGTGTGTGTGTGTGTGTGTGTGTATATATATATATATATATATATATATATATATATATATATATATATATATTTTACACACAGAGACAACATTTCTGAGCAGGAGAGAGAAATAAGCAGGTAGCTTTGATGGAGAGCCTCTTTGTCCCCTAAAAGGCTAGTGCCCTCCATGTGCACAGAAACACTGTCACTGATGGAAGCATGGCAGATGGATGGGAATGAAGCACTTGGGAATCACCCTCCTCCCCCTCTCGGTCTACCACCAGGGGCAAGGAGGCATGGACCCCAGCACGCGTGGATCTGGCCTTCATAATCTGGGTGTCCAGTGACTACAGGGGCCTATAGGCCTGTGTGTCTGGCCCAGGCAGTGCAAACAGACTGGCATCTCTCCTGCCAGACCCACGGAGATTGTTGGCCCAATGTTCCTGCCATTGGATTAATTCTGCCATCCCAGGAACAGAAAGGCCTTGTGAAACCAGATTGGAGCTGAGAGCTCAGAGGACCTTGGAAATCTCCCCCGCAGTTCAAGTTAACTCCCTCTCCGGGACAAACGGCAGGATGTTTGCGATGTCATTTAGAAAAAGAACCAGAAGTCTGCTAATGTGAAAATGAGAACACTTCCTCTGCATCTTGCCATCAGTTCTAGGGTTTGCTACTGAGTTTCCATATGATTTATTAGAAGAATGACTTTACGTTTCATATATTTTTTTTGGATGGTCCAACTTTTGAATATTCTGATTCCTGCTCTGGTTGTAAATCAGAAAATGTGTCCAAGTGTTTTATTCTAAACAAACCAGGTCAACAGAGATCACCAGACTTAGAATAGACTGTCTGGTCCCAAAGACACAATCTGAGGGTTTTCAGGAGAATCTCTCCCATTTTTATCCTCTCAACTCCAGCCAAAAAAGATGCAGTGTCCAGAGCAAGAGTATATTGGTACATAGGTAAAGTCACCCAATTATGTATTTTATGTCATTTTACTCCAAGGACAACACCTGTGAAAAAGATTGCTGGTGAGCAGCCCTTTCCCGGAAGTTTAAGCACCTCAAGGAAGGCAGTTTTACAGAAAAGGGAGGGAGTGAGTTAAGGGTCGAAGCTCTCCGCCTTGCATATGGCTTCCTGGAGAGAAAGGGCATCTCCGCCAAAGAAACACAAGACAATGAGACTCAGTTCCAAGCAGCAAACCCGAGGAAGTGAGGACACTCTATCCTGGACCGATGAGAACACTCCTGAACAGGCATCCTAATGGCTTCTCCTTATTTTGGGGAATAAAACCTCAACACAGGATGTCCAATTAAGCTAGTCACTTGGCAATGCCTTCTTTAATCCTAACCCCTTCTCCCATCTCCTCCTTCCTCCTAAAAATCCAGCCTTTTAGGGAAGTGGCCAATCTCCAAGTATCTCAAAACATTTCAGTAGATATGAATCCTTTATAATGTGGCCCTAAAGAAAAAGATGTTATGTGGATAAATGAAAGCTACCTAGCCAAAAAGAAAAGAAAAACAGGTTTTGCATATGTTAAATATAGTGTTTCTCCCCTCCAACAGTGGCTGACTGAATCCTCTCTTCCCAACTGGACCCCTAGTTTAAGATGCTCCACCCCCAAATAAAGGAACCCAAGAAAAGCCCTTGGCAATCAGTGGTCTGTTCATAGAAGATCTCTTTAATGTGCAGTTAGATTGCTCTCCCGTGCCTAAGTAGGAGGGCTCACAGAACAAAAAGTAACCTGCTCCAAAGACACATTCCGGCTCCGCCTCCCAGAGCCCCAGGAAGCACACATCTGGCAGTGTTAGAACTGGAGTCAAGGAAATGCAAATTAAACAGGAAGATGCCATTTGTCATCCACCAGTGCCCTCGGGACTGATGGACTATGAACTACTCTGTTTGTTCTTTCTGGAAAGTAATCTGGCAGAAACTCATGAAAGATGTTTTTAACCTTTTTTAAAATGTCAAGCTTACAAAAAAGTTGCCAGAATAATATGAACTCTATAACCTTTCACCTAGCTTAACTAATTATTAACATTTTGCCTCATTTGCTTCATCTCTATGTGTGTAATTACACATGAACATTTTTCTGAACAATTTGGGAATAAAATGCAAATACTATGACTTTTCACCCCTAAACCCTTCAGTGTGTTGTTTCCCAAGAACAAGATGACCCTCTTACATGTTAAACTTGCTACATTCAGGAAATTTATCATTAGTACAACATTATCTAATATACAGTCCACATTCAAAATTCGCTCTTTATCTCAATACTGTTTCTGTTTGTTATAGGAATTTTTCTTGGTCCAGGATCATTCACTGCATTTAGATATTATCTCCTAAAAGGAGAAATAAGCATGCTGTTGACATGAATCCCTATACCTATAGGGAAAAAAAGCACTAGTATATAAGGAAACTTTATATAGAGACCTACATTAAGGTACAGATATAAATATAGATGTTTATTGCACCATTATTTTTAGTAGCAAAAATATGGAAACAGTCTAAAAGACCACCAAAAGGGACTTGTTGGGGAGAAAAAAAACATGGTATATTCAAACTCCAGAATATCATGTAGCTATTAAAAATAGAGAATTGGATCCATACATATTGACCTAGAAGGATGCCTATGACCAACTGATGATAAAGACAAGTCCCAGCAATGCTTTTTGCTATGCTTTCATCCACTGGGGAGCAAAAGGACTGAGACCTACTACCTAGAGAGTGTCCCCAGTAAAAAATGAAGACGTTTTAAATAATTTTAAACCCCCCCCCCTTTTTTTTTTAAATAAAGTAACACACATTTACAGAAAACCACATTAAACAAAAGCATGGTTTTATGACTTATTATAGATGAACAACCTGTAATCACCACTCAGGTCAAGAAATAGCCACCCCAATCAATAGATGAATGTACAAAAAAAGTGATATATACACACGATGGAATCTTATTCAGCCTTAGAAATAAAGGAAATTCTGGCACCTGCCACAAGATGGAAGAACCTCAAGGACATTATTCTAAGTGAAATAAGCCAGTCACAAAAAGACAAGTATTATGTATTCCACTTATATGAGGCCCCCAGAGTCATCAAATTTATAGAGACAGAAAGTAGAACGGTGTTGGGGGTAGCAGAGCATGGAGAGTTTTTTAATGGGTATAGAGTTCTTCTGCAAGACGAGTAATGAGTACAGTTCTAGAGACTGGCTGCACAGTAATGTGAATGTACTTAACAATACTGACATATACACTTAAAAATAGTTACAATGGTAAATTTTACGTTACACATAGTTCAACACAATTTTTTAAAAAGTCACCTCAGAGCTCCTCCATGTGCCTTGTCTCAATTACAAGTCCCTCCCTACTGTCAAAAGCAACCACTATCTGGCATCTCTCCTGCCAGAGCCACAGAGAATGTTGGCCAAGCACTCCTGACATTTAGATTAATTCTGCCATCCCAGGGAACAGAAAGGTCTTGTGAAAACAGATTTGAGCTGAGAGCTCAGAGGGCCTTGGAAATGTCTTCCACAGATCAAGTTAACTCTATCAGGGAGAACTGGCAGGATTTTTTAAAAATAATTTTATCACTCAAGTATGTATATACCAAGGCATCATGGTGTCTTTTTAAAGCTTTGATACATTTTTAATATATTTTTAGTGATTTTTAGAGAGATAAGAAGGGAGAGGGACAGAGAGATAGAAATATCAATGAGAGAGGAGCATCACTGATCAGTTGCCTCTTGCACAG